CCGCTTTACTTGCCATTTTGGCATTTCCCTGTCAGCGCAATTAGAGCATATCTACACGCAAAAGCCAACGCAGCCAATCTTTAAATAAAGGTTTGTTATCTAAAGGTTCGAGTGATATTCGTCAGATTCCATTGTATTTCAAGTTTCATCATTTTATGCCTTCTTTAAACTAGGAGTTTTCGAACAAGGGATCAACATCATTAATGTATTTTTCAACTGGTCAAAGACATTTATTCACATTACATCTTGAATTCAGCATCACTCACTTCAATTTAACAATTATTTTCACTAGTACATCTAAATTATGTGGTCGTTTCGCCCTGACGTGGATTCGCCCGAGGTTGCTTCGCCCGCACTTGTTAAAGTCGATTTGACCGATGACAATCAACACTCTACAACACCGCTTATTAAAGATGCTTTTTGCTTGGATTATTTTGCCGCCATTACTTAAATAGGTCAAGCGTTCTGCACGATCTTAGAAATCTCGACGATTGCTACGTCGATCTTGAATATATTTTGTATAAAGTCGTCACTGCAAAATGTTGTGGATCACTATATGCTGTCACTTTCACTTTGACGCTTATTCCTTGACATTAATCAACGTCGTGCAAATGCAAAAGTAATATACCTCGGGTCTTTAATGCTCATGCCCCAGCAACAACACTATACATGTCATATACTTCGTTCTTTATCCACCAACCCCAGCTAAGCCTTCTTAAGTCGAATCAGCCATTCTTGTTTTACAGTATTCGGCGACTTCAGGACTGCCACCGAAGACTAAGTACATTTTTACGCCTAATCCATCGCCAATTTATAGCTTCATTGGGGACTATGGACGGCGAACATAGCTAGGTCTGTTGCGGGTTCAATTAAATCTGACTGAGACACCGAAAAACGGTGATAGTTAAACCTGATTGCTTTAACTTACTAGCACCTTAATTTCTTCTTTAGTGGCCTCTATCTGATTGCCCAGAATTACTTCATTTAAAAAGAAAAAAAAAATTTTAAATTAATAATGACGATGTAATAAAAAGGAGAACTGGTCAAGAACTACAGGGATTCGAACAGGTTTTTGGATTTAAACTTGAACACTTTTTGCTATTTTTTCTTAAGTTCAACTAAGGAAAAATCAATGTCGGGCGAATCCACATGTAATAGACGTTCTTTAATGCTCATGGACCCAAACAACAACACTATAAATGTAATATACTTCGTTCTTTAATTCACAAATCCCAACAAAGCTGTTGAATACGAAGCAACCATTGCAATTTTATTAAAATTTTTATGACTAACGGACTGCTCACCACGGTAGCAGTACACTTTCACGCACCTAGTCCATTTTAAAATTTGCAACGCTTGGAATGTGGTCAACTTTCACTTTGAAAAAAAAATATTAAATTCCCTGCCCAACGTAGCTACTTAATGTTAATTTGAAAATTAATGTCGACGCAGTTCAAACGAGTTTAACCGACGTTTCGGACGCAGCCTTCTTAGGGGTACAAGACTAAATGAGACTATTTTTGTACCCTGAAAAGACAGCATTGAAAAATACGTCGGTTAAAACCTTTGAACAGCGTCGATTTTACATCAATTCATTTTGGCCGAGCGCGACCTCGGCTTTAGTTTTGCAAAATTCAAGATGGCGGATCAATGTGCAGCTACCGAAGGTGAACTAAATTTCCATAAAAGATGCACTGAAGCGAGAGAAATCAAAATTTCAGCGGGGAATTTGGAACGTACATACCCTAAAGGATTTAGGCAAGACATTCCACGAACTGAATAAGCTGGCTGAGTCAGTTGTGAAAGGGAATTTTGGCGCGCTTCGCGAGCGCACCAATTACTACAGGATCGGCGAGATTATGTCCTATGCTTTAACGAAGCATGGATCGCGCAAAGACCGCAATTATTATTCACCGTCTTAGTCCAAAAATGAGCATAGTGCATCCGTGGATGATTTGCTTTGACCTTCCCATGCCTCATGAGGTCTTTGATCTCTTGAACAAGGAGATTCTTGGTCTGACAAGATTTGGGATAGATACACCAGGTTCAGTGACTATAACATTTTCAAACCTGAGAAGATTATCGTATCTCTACAACCAGTTCCAAGATTGTGGTGGGTTTAGAGAGCAACTTGGTAAAGGAAAAAGAGAGGCAAAGTTTATTGTGAACTCCGAGAAGAAGGAAACAATGGTCTACAATGCTAAAGAACAGATTTTGAGAGCAAAATTTTTTATGGATACTGGAATTCGTATGGGATTAGTCAGGATTAGTCAACAATGAATAGAGGATGCAAGGTTGAATCATACAGTAACAAGTATTTCCCTAATACCTCATTGACAAAAACCTGTCAACCTTTGTGCTTGGATGATAACAAAAAAGACAGAATGCCTACCATGGATCATTGCAATTATTCCTTATGTTTCACAATTTTTTTGAGAAATCCCGAAAATTGTAGAAATCCCAGTTTTTGCTGGGCACCCTTTTACCTCCTGTAACACTTGTTGTAATTAATTTTAGCAAAAACTGCGATTTCTCCAATTTTTTGCAATTTTTGGAGAAATTGCAGAAATTGCAGTTTTTGCTGGGCACCCTTGTACCTCCTCTAACACTTGTCATAACTAATTTTAGCAAAAACTGCAATTTCTCCAATTTTTCGCAATTCTTGGAGAAATTGCAGTTTTTTTGAGAAATCCCGAAAATTGTAGAAATCCCAGTTTTTGCTGGGCACCCTTCTACCTCCTGTAACACTTGACTTAATTAATTTTAGCAAAAACTGCGATTTCTCCCATTTTTTTGCAATTTTTGGAGAAATCATAGAAATTGCAGAAGTCGCAGTTTTTGCTGGACACCCTTCTACCTCCTGTAACACTTGACTTAATTAATTTTAGCAAAAACAGCGATTTCTCCAATTTTTCACACTTTTTGGAGAAATCGCAGAAATTGCAGAAGTCGCAGTTTTTGCTTGACACCCTTCTACCTCCTGTACCACTTGACTTAATTAATCTTAGCAAAACTGCGATTTCTCCAGGTCAGGCGCTCAATGCGGGGCGGGTGAAAGTCATTTTGAGGGGATTGACTGTGACCGCACCTTTGATCTTTGGAATATTTCTGAGGGGTGTAAAAAATTGGCCATTTCTGTGGGGGAGGCAGGGTACTGTGTCAGTACCTTTGATCTTTTTCTTTTCTTTTAGAACTCATCAGACACTCAATCTTGCTTTCCAAAAGCAACATAAAGGCATTTTCGGTCTATGGTGTTTGATAAAGTTTGAAGCCTCTTGACATCACCCAAATACAAGATTTTCCTGGTTATGAAGTTTCTCTTGAAAGTGCCATAACATGGATTATCAGGGAGTTGAGATTACATGGTGTGCAGAAAGAAATAATTGACCTAAGCCTCAAGCTTGATGGTAGGCCATTTGCAGGTGAGAATGCAATCTTTACTAAATACAGTGTAACTTATTTCCAGATTTCTTTATTGTATTTTGCAACAACTGTGTTGCACTTAAGAAAGAAAAACATAGAAACAAAATCAACAGTGAAATTGGGCTAAAAATTATGACACCAAGGGACATACAATAGTGTCCAAATTATTTCTTAACTGTGACTGAAACAAGTTCATCCTAACGAAACCCTGTGATCTTTTATCATGGGTGTAGTCTTGGACTGAAATAGTCTTTTTCATCAGTATTCTTAAACATTTACCGTTCCTTATCCATAATTTTCACTTGAAAGATATTCAGTCATAGACAGTGCAGAGATAAAATAATGTAAAGCAGGGTATATAATATATGGGAGTTTAAAACTTGTTGTCCATATTATTGTTGTCTGTATTAGGGAGTAAATTTTAGAGAAAATACATGTGCTTTTTGTTGCGACAAATCCGTTAAATACAGGTGTCTGTATCAAGTTAGAGGGGGGGTAACATCAAAGTGGCAGGGTAAACATAACCAAACACTTTGAACTCTAGGTCATGAAGTGGTGCTTAAATTTTTGAAATGCCTTTTTTTGTTGTTTCCTCTCATTTGTAGGGCACAGTCAGGTCCTAATGGGTGTAGTCCCCAAAGACACACCATTCGTGTGTAATCAGAGCTGCAAATCAGTGTGCCCTTTAGATATTGCTAATTGTAAGGAAGACAGGTATGTTGTATTTAAATTTGATTCATTAGTCAAATAGTTATTTGTTTCCAAAATAACTAGTTTTGTTAGTGAAAATTTTTATTGTACCTTTTAGACTGTGTAATTTTTGTTTGTCGACCAGTTATACATGCAAGCTGAAATAATTTGTGGATTTACAACAAATTTATTATATGAGGCCTAAAGGCCCCAGTAAATGATCATTTTTGAAAATTAATTTACCGCAAAGGTCTTAATTTATTAGTGGGCCACTCAAACCCGACCTTTATATGTTTTCAAGTCTTAAGAACTATCTGTCGCAGACTAGACTAGCAGTATGGTATTTCATTTTCCTTTTTTTTTTCATTTTAGTAATAACTTCAGTTTACTGGTAACTTCACTTTTTATTATATTATTAGGGAAAACCTAAAAAAGCTGATTGTTAATGTCAACAAACAAAAGGATGCACTAAAGAAGAATGGAATCAGAGTGGATGGAGTGCATTATGCTGTGAGATTTAAAGGTAAGTTTCACATAATAATTAATAAGGTATTTTTTAGTACCATAATTTTCAATCCAAATACCTGCATGTACATTGACCACTCTTTTCAAAAATTTATATCTACAGTTATACTTGACCTGAAGGCCCTCTATTTTTTGCTGGAACAAATAGGGAAAGCGAACCTTAAGCTTGGGAAACGAGGAACTGAAGTAGATTGTTGCTTTATCTGCAAAGCATTGAGGGTATGTGGATACATTCAAAATCTCCGAGACAACAAATTCTACTATGCAGGTTTTGACCTTACCAATGACCAACTTACTAATATAGTACTATTAGATTTTCAGTTTGCTGGGTAAAATTTCTTAGAAAAAACTAGCTATGAATAATGGCTATTTTTATGGGATGTTGCGATCTTGGTCCACATACAGTTTGTTTGAAACACTTTAGCATGTCCAAGGCCAATATTGGAGGGTAATTTAGTTATAGTTTTGGTTTACTAAAAGAATTCTCCGATGATACTTGTTGAGGCATATAGCCCTTGATTATTCATGAATTTCAGCATTTGTAGTTGTCATTTTGAATTCACAGTAACTTCTAGTTATAAAAGGCATTCAAAACATTAAGGTTATCTCAATACGGTTAACCTCTATTCAAAAATTAAATTCCCTGGTATAGTGAGTGAATCCCTTCATCCCAGCATTTATAGCTTAACAAGTATGTTTTCTATAAAAGACTCACTTTTATATAGACCTCATTTTAGCAATAATATTTTGTAAATTAAGCCTTGCCTTTTGTAAAAGGGGAAGTTCCACTGCATGGAAAAGGAAGCAAAAAGCTTTTTTTGGACAAACATGGTGTTTAATGCCCCTGTCTATAAAATGTTGGCAATTATCCTTGTCTTGTTTTCCTAGAGAGCACATATTATTTTCCCATAACAATGTACCACAGTCTTCCTTTACTGTAGGTGTGTCAATGTTGTAGGGGCACTGTCATAAAAGACTGAAAACCTGTCAAGTAAAATACTTGAGTTTGAAATCTATAAAACTGTTAAGTACGACTTCAGGGGAGATATCCCCCACAACTAACAGAATAATTATTAATCTTCTTTTTCTAGTTTCAAAGGCATCCGTGATGACTTAGAGTTCCTTCGTAAAGAGGATTTATCGTCTATTAATCTCTGCGCCCTTCACTGCGAACTTAGAAATACCGAAGAGTTGTTGTCATCATTGGGTTTGTTTTTGTACAAAGTGGGTTCACTTGATGAATGTAATGCCGAATTGGCAAATTATGGCCCTGAGAATTTTAGCAGCAGAATAACAGTGAAGATGAAGGAGGGCCAAGAAATTGCTGTTGAAAAGCACAACATTCAGGTGTCTTCATTTTCAGGTACCTTCCATATTGTTTCATTATTTTTTATCATGATTGCTTTCATTCCCTTTATCCGCTTCAGGGCTTTTACTTTTGTGCTGTAGCAGCTGCTTGAGTTTCATTTGTACAATACCTTGATCCTTAATATGAAAACTGTAACACTGGTTTGTAATGAAGATGTCATTAAGTTGTGAATTTAAATCCTGTTTGTTTCTTTCTGTACTATTTTTCCTGAAGGTTCTACTGAACATGAGTTCCTCACAAACATTGAAACGATTGTCAGGAACTCCTTGCTTCATGACAAATTGAAGTCATATTTTGCTGATCCAGAAAGTGCTAAAGAGGCACTCCTGAATAAGGTCACAATATTTTGTAATGATAGAATCAAGGTATGGCTCAGGATATCACATGATTTGAATGCTTCACTTAAACCAGTGCAACACACAATAGTATTTTTTGTGTAGTATGTAGAAACATACACTGAAAAAAATGGTTTCTGTTTAAATATTTAATGAATTTTTAAAAATTTGTTTTAGTACTATCAGGACATGGCTATTTCAGACACATTTACCAGAGACTTTGGTTCAATTAAATCAAAGGAGGAGACTATTACCCTCACAGGTTCAGGTACATGTTACAGTCATTATACTGTTATTTAAAACCTTTCCTTCCCTTTGACTGTGATAAACTAGACAGTTTGAATTAATGACTGCATTTATATCCATCTACACTGGAAGTTGTGATAGGCTAGCTAGCACTGTTAGTATTAATATAACCCCATGACGTGACCATTGTGTATCAAGGGTACATCATTATTGCATCAGATTACTACATCCCAACTGAGTGAATGTTCCTTAGCATGTACAGCACACCCAGTGGTTTGTGTTCTTGCATAATAGTCCTCCCTTAAAAAGAATACCCCTTACACTTTGTGATGTGACTACCTAACCTGTTTTCCTTAGAAGCTGTAAAAGAAGTTGAGAGAAGACTGGAATTCTGGCAGGGCAGACTATGTAAATCGAGGAAAGATATGTGGAGCTGTCAGAGAAGTGTGTTGGTGGGTCGGTTGCTAAAGGGAAACGAGGAAAAAAAGGCAGAAGGTGGACAATGCTGATCTTTCTCAACTATCTGATTATGCAGCAGCAGCTAGTGTTTTACCAATTTTTGTTATTAAAAGGTAATTAAATAATCAAGTCTTTTTTTACTTAATTGGAAGACATGTTGAACAGTTTTATGAGAAATAAGATATCGGGCAAAATCCAGACACGTTAAGTTAAAACTAGTCAAGCTGATTTAATTGCTTTTTTGAACAAAATTCTCAACTTTAACAAGTGGTAGTTACAAAACACAGGTCACAAGGTAAGGTCACTGCATACTCTTATAAAGAAAAACTGAGATAGGCATGCAGTTTCCCCTTAACTTAATACACCTCATTTCAGATTGTAATTTGGGCTTTTCATATAATTATTCACTTTGATTTCAGGTTGACACTGACTGGAAAGACATTTCTGAAGTTATTAGAAGTAGTGTCTTCGAGGAAGATTAGCAAGATTTAATTGACATTTTTGACATACAGGTATGTGTCAGGTAATTCACTTTTAGTAAGAGTGTAAATACGTACCCTTTGAAAATGAAGTCCTCTTAATGGAAAATATGCATAATGTCTAAAACTATTACAACAATAAATTTAGACAAGAAGGTTAATACAGCTGTAGTGGAGTTTCTTGTAAATCTTTCAGCAGAGACTGACCAGCAATTAAAAGCCATTGCATGACGAGAAATTCAAAAATAATTTCCAACCACTTTAACTGACATTCAAAAACTCATTAATAGTCCATAAAGAAAAAACAAAAGAAAGAAATGCTTAATGAGTGTCTACCTGATAAAGGCACGGCTAAACTTTACATCCAATTTTTTAGATTTAAAAAAGACCAGATCTAAATATTAATACAAGATCTATATCAGATATTTTGTAGCCCTTCAAAAAATTTACAGTCATTTATAATCAGAACCTGGATATACACTCATGCTGGTCTTTTAAACAATACTTAAAGTTTGATTATAGAATGAGGCACATACATTATTCTTTTAGAAGTAAAATGTTTTTCCCTTCTAAAATGTTTAAGATATTCACAAAGTACAGGTCACATTCCCCAGGTAATAAGTACATGTCACTGCTCCATGGATGAATTGCCAAACCACACAGATTCCCCTCTATCTAATAGAGCATTTTGTTAAGAGTTTAGGGCTTGCAAATACTTTTAATGCTAAAATTGTGAAAGGTTTCAACCCAGGAGTATAATACCATCAACTGACGTGATACAATTCACTTTGACTCTGAAGATGACTACCGCACAGGTTGTCGAAACGTCAGTCACTGTCAACAACAACAGTCCTATTCAGGACTATGTTCACCTGGATGATCAAACTCAACCTACTTTTAAATTCATTTGTCTGTATCATGGTGAACTAGCTGTACTCTGACAGTGTGGAAAAGTTACCTGTATTTTAGACCCACCGTCAGTTACTGCACAGTCTTCAATGTTGATTTTGACAACTGTTTAACATCTATGGAAATATGCCTCTTTTTTCTTTTAGTGCAAAGAATGGGAATTCCTTTTAAGGGAAGTGTTTGGCTGCAACCTGGGCACTGGTGATTATGGCCACATCACCACTGAACATGCCAGCATGCTGTTTAGAAACCACCTCGAGCTTGAGGGAGTATTCAAATCAAGGCTTTGAGGCAGCACACTCATCACAGTGTCAGTTATATTCAAAGGCTACTTCCCATCGATTGCATGACAGGCATGGTCATGCTACATCAAGTTAGTTTTATATTTTACTTTTTATTATTATTACTTTTATATTATCATACATCTCAACACTACAGTACTTGAAACTAATAATTTATCACCTACTTAAATATTGTTAGAACTAAACTAAAGTACAACTCTTTTTATACAAAGGTTAGGAAGCTCATCATGTCATTTTCACATTATTTTGTGATACCACAGATGATGCATAGTTCATAAGGACACGAAAAGCTCTTGAATTTTAGCTACCCTCTTAAAAGCTCTTGAATCTAAGTTGAGTCAATGGAAAATCCTTGAACTTTAAATCTTGTTTTGAATATCCTTTAATCTTAAGAGTTTTCATTGTTAGCAAATTAATTTCCTGTTGGAGAACATCCATAGGTATTAAAAATACCTTTAGCATCAGTTTTTCATGGGATTACTGCAAACTGTAAACTGCAGTCTGCAGTCACCCATTTGCAGTTCTTTAGGCAGACATTCATTGTTTATCACCAGCTCTAACTTAGCACATCAGAGGGTGGTGTAGAAAGCTGCTTTGTGCTTTTAAATGTAAGGCTGAACAATAATATTATTGTTAGTGGCAAAAACATTGCTGTAAGTCACCTACTGCTGTAAGCCTTTCCTGCCATTCGAACTTGAACTGCAAACTGCAAACGCAACCAGAAGATCGACCACTCAACTTTCTTATATTTGAGACCTGTTTGCAGTGTCCCATGCATGAAAAACCTGATGCTAAAGATCTTTATTGAAATTTTAAATGCCAATTTACAGTTAGTATTGAAGTCATTGTTCAAGGCATACCATTATTAGTAAAATTAATCAGTGTTTGGGAGTTACACTGTACATGTTCTTGAATAATATGTATCTTATTGATGTTTGAAAACTAGAATCCACCATTCGGGGAAAAGGCAAAGTCTGGTTTAATCACATGTTCTTGTTGGTATTGAAGTTGTTGGCACTTTTGATTAATCAACTTTATTTCATTATATTAAGTCCAACAGATTTTGCAACATTTCTTTTGTGAAAAGTTACTGTTCCTGCGGCTTTGCTTCAGAATGGCTATAGAGAGCATGGAAAATGGTGATTATCTTCTAAAATGTTTGCAGCTAGAAACTTTATATAATGGAACTTCTTTTTATGTCAGTCCCTTAGATGTGTAGTGAAATGTATTCTCCCTTGTTGATCGAGACGTTATGTAAAAACCTGAGAGTTGTGACATATTTCCATAAAAAGCGTACACTATATTCAATCGGTCGGCTACGAAGTTTAGAAAAAATGCCCCCCAAGTATGCAGTTTTCTCAACAGTTTTGTCCAAGATTGTAGCACTGTTAGTATTAATACAACCCCATGACGTGACCATTGTGTATCAAGGGTGCATCATTATTGCATCAGATTACTGCATCTCAACTGACTGAATGTTCCTTAGCATGTACAGCACACCCAGTGGTTTGTGTTCTTGCATAATAGTCCTCCCTTAAAAAGAATACCCCCTTACACTTCGTGATGTGACTACCTAACCTGTTTTCCTTAGAAACTGGAAAATAAGTTCAAAGAAGACTGGAATTCTGGCTGGGCAGACTACGTGAAATCGAGGAAAGATATGTGGAGCTGTCAGAGAAGTGTGTTGGTGGGTCGGTTGCTAAAGGGAAACGAGGAAAGAAAAGGCAGAAGGTGGACAATGCTGATCTTTCTCAGCTATCTGATTATGCACCAGAAGTGTTCTACCAATTTTTTTTAAAGGTAATCAAATAATCAAGTCTTTTTTTACTTAATTGGAAGACACACTGGACAGTTTTATGAGAAGTAAGATATGGGGCAAAATCCAGACGCATTAAGTTAAAACTAGTCAAGCTGATTTTGCTTTTTTGAACAAAATTCTTAACTTTAACAAGTGGCAGTTACAAAACACAGGTCGCAAGGTAAGGTCACTGCGTGCTCTTATAAAAAAACTGAGATGGGCAGTTTCCCCTTAACTTAAAACACCTCATTTCAGATTGTAATTTGGGCTTTTCGTATAATTATTCATTTTGATTTCAGGTTTACTCTGACTGGAAAGACATTTCTGAAGTTATTAGAAGTAGTGTCTTCGAGGAAGATTAGCAAGATTTAATTGACATTTTTGACATACAGGTATGTGTCAGGTAATTCACTTTTAGTAAGAGTGTAAAGTACCATTTGAAAATGAAGTCCTCTTAATGGAAAATACGAATGATGTCTAAAACTATTACAATAATAAATTTAGACAAGAAGGTTAATACAGCTGTAGTGGAGTTTCTTGTAAATCTTTCACCAGAGACCAGCAATTAAAAGCCATTGCATGACAAGAAATTCAAAAATAGTTTCCAGTCACTTTAACTGACATTCAAAAACTCATTAATAATCCATGAAGAAAAAACAAAAGAAAGATATGCTTAATGAGTGTCTATCTGACAAAGGTACGGCTAAACTTTACATGCAATTTTTAACATTAAAAAAAAACAGACCTAAATATTAGTACAAGATCTATATCAGAGACTTTGAAGCCGTTCAAAAAATTTGCAGTCATGTATAATCAGAACGTGGAAATATATACATTCAGGCTGGTCTTTTAAACAATGCTTAAAGTTTGATTATAGAATGAGGCAGATACATTATTATTTTAAAAGGAAAATGTTTATATCTCTCCTAAAATGTTTAAGATATTCACAAAGTACAGGTCACATTCCACAGGTAAGAAGTACATGTCACTGCTCCCAAGATGAATTGCCAAACTACACAGATTCCCCTCTATCTAATAGAGCATTTTGTTAAGAGTTTAGGGCTTGCAAACACTTTTAATGCTATTCATTTGTCTGTATCATGGTGAACTGTACTCTGACAGTGTGGAAAAGTTACCTGTATTTTAATTAGACCCGCTGTCAGTTTGACTGCACAGTCTTCAGTGTTGATTTTGACAACTGTTTAACACCCATCGAAATATGCCTCTTTTTTCTTTTAGTGCAAAGAATGGGGATTCCTTTTAAGGGAAGTGTTTGGCTGCAACCTGGGCACTGGTGATTATGGCCAAATCACCACTGAACATGCCAGCATGCTGTTTAGAAACCACCTCGAGCTTGAGAGAGTATTCAAATCAAGGCTTTAATTGAGGCAGCACACTCATTACAGCATCAGTTAATGGCTACTTCCCATGACAGGCATGGTCATGCTACATCAAGTTAGTTTTATCTTTTACTTTTTTAGTACTTTATTTTTTTTATATATTATCATACATCTCAACACTACAGTACTTGAAACTAATTTTGTCACCTACTTAACTATTGTTAGAACTAAACTAACAACTTTTCTTATAGAAAGGTTAGGTTAAGTCGAGTTAATGGAAAATCCTTGAACTTTAAATCTTGTTTTGAATATCCTTTAATCTTGAGAGCTTTCATTGTTAGCAAAATAATTTCCTGTTGGAGAACATCCATAGGTATTAAAAATACCTTTAGCATCAGTTTTTCATGGGAAACTGCAAACTGTAAACTGCAGTCTGCTGAGTCACCCATTTGCAGTTTCACTTTGCCTGGATTTTAAACTTTAGGCAGACATTCATTGTTTATCACCAGCTCTAACTAGCACATCAGAGGGTGGTGTAGAAAGCTGCTTTGTGCTTTTAAATGTAAGGCTGAACAATAATATTATTGTTATAGTGGCAAAAACATCTTATTGTGTGAAAACTAGAATCCATTGGGGAAAAAGGCAAAGTCTGGTTTAATCACATGTTCTTGTTGGTATTGAAGTTGTTGGCACTTTTTGAATAATCAACTTTATTTCATTATATTAAGTCCAACAGATTTTGCAACATTTCTTTTCTGAAAAGTTGCTGTTCCTGCGACTTTGCTTCAGGATGGCTATAGAGAGCATGGAAAATGGTGATTATCTTCTAAAATGTTTGCCAGCTAGAAACATTATATAATGGAACTTCTTTTTATGTCAGTCCCTTAGATGTGTAGTCAAATGTATTCTCCCTTGTTGAGACAACGTTATCTAAAAAATTGGGAGTTGTGTATTCCCATAAAAAGCATACACTATATTCAATGACAACATTACTATGTACTTCATCTTTTTCTACCTGGAATGGGGTGAGATAACATTAATATGTTGTCATTCTTCCTCTTGAGCAGTAGAAAACTAACCACATAAAAACTTGCAGTAAGCTTTATAGAGCTTATTGAACGCAGTCTTTTAAAATCCTTTTTGTTGACATTGTTGTTTTAACTGTGACTGGTTCCCTTATTCTGCCAATGCCAATGTTTTTTTTTTGTATGTCAGGTAAACCATTCCATTTTAGAGGCTGCGGCTGGTCCAGAAAAAAAGAAGTGTCATGGTCAAAAGATGACATGGCCTGGATTTTCACCATGAATGACTTTGTTCAACGAAATGTTTGGCAAGGATGCTCTTTCTTATGAATTTGACAAAGGTTTAAAATGAGTGGTAATATCACCCGACTGTTTACCTATCTATCAATATGATCATGAATTGGGGGGGCAGCTCTTTCCTACAGTTGTGACCAGTTTTACTTCCTTCCTGGAACAGCCACAAAGTCCACAAGCCATTCCAGCTAGCAGCCCAGCTTCCAGCAACACTGGCCAGTCAGCAGCTCTTCCACAAGCCTCTCATCAAGCCCCGCCACTAGCCCTTCAAATTCCAGTTGCATCCCTTCGTCCCATGTCACAGTGGATACTAAAACTGCCTTTGTTCATCAACCATCAGAACCTTTGTTTATTCATGATTTACCAATTTGTGCTGCAAATGATTGTTCCAGAGGCCAACTTGCTACCCTTGATCTTCCGCCTGTAATTCAAATTCCGGATGATGACATCGAGCTGGTTGTTGATCCTGGGTGTCTTAACAATCCTCTGCAGTCCCCAGTCAGGCCTTCAGAATCAGTGATGATGAGGATTTCGACACTGCAGTCCAGTTTGGAGATCTTGGGGTGTTTGACAGCAGAGCTTTAGACATTTGGATGAAAGCATCAAAAGCTTCCTCCATTAAGTTTAGAGTCCAAGAAGAGGAAAATTGAATGAAAACTACAAGCACCACATTAACCCCTCAGCAGATTAATGAAATTAGGGCTTTGCTTTTGGACAGTGAACCTGAAGAAGAAATCTTTAGAATTGGTGATGTGATGGTTGATGCTGAAGACCTTTCAACCTGAGTTGTTTCAAAGCTTTCAATAAGATACTTTTTATTAGTGTGATGAAAATGCTTTTGACAATATTATTGTAAGGGTTTCCTCTCCCTCTTAAGGTTTACAGGCGCCGCGCTCAAACTGCGGAGGTGATTGAACCCACTTTTTGCTGAATTAATTTTTTGAAAGGTTTTAATAAGATAGTTGTTATAAGAATGAAAACTCTTTTGACAATATTATTGTAAGGGTTTCTTTTCCTTCTTAAGGTTTACAGGCGGCACGCCCAAACTGCGGAGGTGATGGAACCCAGTTTTCGCTGAATAATTTTTTCAAAGGTTTCAATAAGATAGTTGTTACAAGAATGAACATGCTTTTGACAATTATTATTGTAAGAGTTTCCTCTCCCTCTTAAGTTTTACAGGTGGCACGCCCAAACTGCGGAGGTGATGGAACCCAGTTTTTGCTGAATTAATTTTTTCAAAGCTTTCAATAAGATAGTTATAAGAATGGATACTCTTTTGACAGTATTATTGTAAGAGTTTCCTCTCTCTCTTAAGGTTTACAGACAGCACGCCCAAACTGCGGAGGTGATGGAACCAAGTTTTCACTGAATTAATTTTTTTTAAAGCTTTCAATAAGATGCTTATGATAGGAAGAATGAGATTGAATTCTAACTTTTTTTCAATTTTACCAAGGGCAACACCTTCAAATAAGTTATTGTCTCAAAAGTAATGTTGTTTGCTCTTTTTTAAGTTTTTAGGCAAAAGACATGGCATTGATGTCCAGCTAAAATTCCAACAAAAAACCGAATGAAAAAAAAAATCCTGCAGGTCATTATACCAGGGAGTTTGACATTGCACTGACTGCAGGTGACAAAAAACAAACGGCTCTTTTAGGAGCCACCATAATTATGTATTAAAAGAAAATGACCAATCACAGAGTAGACCAGTAAGTGTTCATTAAACTGTATCATTTTAATCTTTATGCCCTACTTTCAGCAAAGATTGAACAGATTTAAAAGCTGTTTTGATGAGCACAAACTGAGTTTTTGCTGTTAAAAGCAGCTACTGATTTGTCAGCTAACATTAACTTGCTACAAATTAAACACAAAATCACTGAAATACATATAAAATTCATATAGGGTTTTCAATTTCCTTTAACAGGTAAAAACAATACTTAGTAGATTTAAATAGCATGTCTGTTTAGTTAGTGTCTAATTATAAGGTAAAATTTGCTTTTGTGGTTTTACTAAAATTGCATGAAGAAGTTGCATTGTTTTGGTATAAAAAATTGATGTTCTATTTTCAACAATGACTACACCTTTCCATAGATACTATTCTCTTTCAAGGGTAGTGTTTTATGCTCTTTTCAACTTACACTTTAGTGAATAATATGATATCTATGTCAAGCTTACATTTCAAAGAGGCAGAGAAGAATAAAAAAGCAAAATTAACCTCTGTACAGGTCAAACAAGGAAGTTTGACAATTAACACTGCTCTTTGCAGGCAAAAAATGGAAGAGACACAACTTCCCAGATATTTCAGGGAAGTGAAGTCAACTTTAAAGCCATTGCCTGAATGTTTGATCAATATTAAATAGACTGCAACAAAAATGTTCATAAAAAGAAGTTTCAAACAGTTCCTTTTTTGATATAGAATCTTATTGGAAGTTTTCCATTCCTTGTGGTGGAGTATAGATCTGGCCACCAGATTAGCTCTACCTCCCTAGTGGTCCATCCTTGTCTTGGACCCACCTCCAAACTTGCTTTGGCTGTTAGACGTTTGGTTAATAGATGCCCTGACGACTCCTCATTTCTGACAGTGCTCCAAAAACTACGGTTCTTGGCAGCCTGGAGCTCCTCCTGAGGGCTAAGGTCAGATCTTTTCTCCACTTTCTGTAGGTCACTGTACCAGGCCGTATCATTTAGTTTATGGAGGGTTTGTTCATG